CCCCGGGTTTCTCCGTCCTCCACCAGACTGTGGGCCGGGGGGGAGGGGTGGCATTATTAATCCGGGAAGATTGTCCTTTCAGGCCTCTACCATCGCCATCGATCCCCGGCATTGAATGTGTTGGCCTAGTGTGGGGCTCCGAGGAGAGCTTGGCTGTCTGGCTGGTGTACCGGCCACCTAGCGCACCAGCAGCCACCCTGTCAGGCCTATTGGAGGCAGTGGCCAGCTGGGCCTTGGAGTTCCCTAACCTATTGGTATTGGGGGACTTCAACATCCATGCTGATGCCACTCCCCCCTCACAGGCTCTGGACCTGGTGTCTTCCATGGCGACACTAGGGCTCTCCCAGTTTGTTTCGGGCCCCACACATCAAGCAGGCCACACGCTGGATTTGATCTTTGGCGTAGGTATAGATGTGATCATGTCTCCTTCGATGAAGGTGCCATGGTCTGATCACTACGCTCTGAAAGCCAGGATTGACTTTCCACCCCCACCCTGCTTAGGTGGCGAGCCGATTTGGGCTCGCCCGCAGAGGCTGATGGACCCTGATAGATTCCGCCAAGCCTTGCAGGACCTTGCTCCCTGTGGCGACTCATTGACTGAGCTTGTTGAGGGCTGGAATATCCAGCTCCTGGCAGCCATCGATGAGATCGCACCTAAGCGCCCTCTGCGACCCCGCAGAAACCGGGCTCCCTGGTTTACCGAGGAGCTCCAGAAAATGAAGCGGGACCTCAGACGGCTAGAGCAAGTATGGTGGGGTGCCCGTGATGGAGCCTCAAGAACATCTTATAGGGCTTTTATGAAAACCTACGAGATGGCGGTGAAGGCTGCTAAGAAGTCTTACTTCTCGGCCTCCATTGCATCCGCTAGCTCTCGCCCGGTGCAATTATTTAGTATAATCAGGTCTTTAACGTCCCTTGAGGGACAGCCAAATTTAAATAACAATTTGACACACAGCTGTGAGGCATTTGCGAGCTTTTTTGCGGAGAAGGTCTTGTTGCTCCGCCATGACCTCCCTGCCAATTTGGATACAATAAAGGAACTGGAGGCCCCTCGACTGTCCTCGGGTCCAGTATTGGACCACTTCAACCGGATATCCCCAGCCGATGTGGACAGACTCCTCCGAGCTGGAAAGCCCACCACCTGTCCTCTCGACCCATGCCCGTCTTGGCTGATTAGAGTGTGTCCAGACGAGGTGCGGGCTCTCCTGGGGGATATCATCAATTTGTCCCTTGGCACGGGGACATTCCCAGGGGAACTGAAGGAGGCAGTGGTGCGCCCGCTCTTAAAGAAAACATCATTAGATCCTTTAGATCTATCCAATTACCGCCCGGTTTCGAATCTTCCATTCCTGGGTAAGGTGATTGAGAGAGCGGTTGCTGAACAGCTTGGTGGGTTTCTGGATGAAACATCGGCTCTGGATCCATTCCAGTCCGGCTTCCGCGCTGGTCATGGGACCAAGACGGCTCTGGTTGCCCTAACAGATGATCTTCGTAGACAGCTGGATCGAGGTGGGTCGGGGCTGCTGATTCTTCTAGATCTGTCAGCAGCTTTCGACATGGTCGATCATGAACTTCTGGACCACCGCCTTGCCGACGTGGGGATCCAAGGCATAGTCCTTCAATGGCTGCGCTCGTTTCTCTCTGGTCGGGGACAGAGGGTGGTGCTTGGGGGGGAATTGTCATCGCGCCACTCCTTGGTGTGTGGAGTACCTCAGGGTGCGATACTCTCCCCGATGCTTTTCAACATCTTTATGCGCCCCCTCGCCCAGCTTGTCCGGAGTTTTGGGCTGGGTTGCCATCAGTATGCCGATGACACCCAACTCTATCTGTTGATGGATGGCCATCCTGACTCGGCCCCAGCCACAGTGACCAGATGTTTGGAAGCTGTGGCTGGATGGTTACGTGGGAGCCGGTTGAAGCTAAATCCTTTGAAGACAGAGGTCCTGTGGCTGGGACGGGACAATATGGGATTGGGGGGGCAACTCCCATCTCTTGCTGGGGCACAATTAGTGCCAGCACCGTCCGTTAAGAGTTTGGGTGTAAACTTTGACACCTCCCTTTCCATGGAGGCGCAGATTGCAGCTACAACAAAGGCGGCATTTTTCCATCTCCGCCAAGCTAAGCAGTTGGCTCCTTACCTCTCTCGCCCTGACCTAGCCACTGTGATCCACGCGACGGTCACCTCCAGACTGGATTATTGTAACTCGCTCTATGTGGGGCTGCCCTTGAGACTGACCCAGAAACTCCAGCGGGTGCAGAATGCTGCAGCAAGACTCCTTACGGGGTCTTCGCTGCGAGATCACATTCATTCGGTGCTATACCAGCTGCACTGGCTCCCGGTGGAGTACAGGATCAGGTTTAAGGTGCTGGTTTTAACCTTTAAAGCCCTATACGGCCTAGGACCCTCGTACCTACGGGACCGCCTCTCCTGGTATGCCCCACAGAGAAACTTACGGTCTTCAAATAAAAATATCTTGAAGGTCCCAGGCCACAGAGAAGTTAGGCTGGCCTCAACTAGAGCCAGGGCTTTTTCGGCCGTGGCTCCGATCTGGTGGAACACTCTGTCACAAGAAACCAGGGCCCTGCGGGACTTGACATCTTTCCGCAGGGCCTGCAAGACAGAGCTGTTCCACCAGGCCTTTGGCCAGGGCACAGCCTGACTCCCTCCCTCGGCAATCTTCGCGGAGCTCTGGCCCAATGGTTGCCAGTGGCTTGAATTAATTAATTTTATAATGAATGATTTTAGAGTGTTGTTTGTGCTGTACTTTTGTACTGTTTTATTGTTGTTAGGCGCCCTGAGCCCGGCTTCGGCTGGGGAGGGCGGGATATAAATAAAATTTATTATTATTATTATTATTGGATGGTGTGCTGGAAGTTGCTTTAAGCAGTGGTGATGTGCAGCCTGAGTGTAAAAATGTGGCATTACACAATTTCTGTTTACATCAATGGCACTGTCGCCTAGGCCACTCAAACTGGAGAAGTGTGGCCAAGATGGCTGATTTGAGTGATGGTTTTAAGCTAAAAGGCTGCAGCAAGTATCTTGATTGCAATGTCTGTAAGCAGGTCAAAAGTCACCGTGGTTCCTACCCATGAAGTGACCGAGTGAGTCAAAAACCCTTGCAGTTAGTGCATGCAGACATTTGCGACCCGTTTAATCCCAGCAGAGGCAATTCACATTATGTGTTGACAATACGGATGATGCCACACATTTTTGCTGGGTGTATTTGATGAAACACAAAAGTGAGTCTTTTACCATGTTCAAAGAATGGGCTGCGTATGTGGATAAACAGTTCCCATGTTACGATATGAGAGCAACGCAGCTGCAAACTGGCAGCTTGGTGAAAACATCACATGATGTGACAGTTGAATGGTTTCTTTAAATGTAAAGGTTCATCATTGTTCCACCCGATGTGTATGTCTTTAAGGGGCCAGAGCAAGGGCCAGAGCAAAATAACGAGACCCAGCTTTACAGCTGTGAAACATAGCAGGTGCTGCTGAGTTGTATTGATTAAGCTGTGTCAGCAATTGGGTGTAGTATATAAGGAGCAGCACCTAGCTCTCCCATTACCCTGGGGGGATGGGTTGGTGGTTGGGTCTGGTTTGTTGTTGATGTATTTAGTGTATAAGGAGTTTTTGTTTTTGTTATTAAAACCTTGTTTAAGTTATTTTTGAGTCCCTTTTTAATGCATGGTCTCCCCAGCAAGCTCTCTGCAGCGCTACCATACTGCAAATAGCCAACAGTGACTAGCTGTGGGAAAGAATATTCCCGGAAGTTCACAGGCTTCTCAAAGCTTTGTGAAGTGTGTAATATGAGACCTTCCGTTTGCGCATGTGAAGGAAGTTAGACTTGCTTGCTGAACACTGAACTGTTCGGTCATGTTTACTGTAGTGCTGCAAAGTCAGAAATAAAGAGATGTAAATAGACTTTCTGACTATCTCCTTTCCCTGCTATGGAAGCAAGGAGGGAGGGGGTGTGCATTTTCCACGCTGGGAAATGTCGCCTATCAAAATCTCCCTGGTCTGTCTGGGATGTCAGCCAGAGGAAGATTACCGGTAAACAAGCTCCAAGAGCAGGGAGAGGGGCCAGCCTCTCCGGAGGGGGCTTGTTTTCCAACATCCCATACAAAGAGCGGAATTTGCAGTCAGATGGGGGGTGGGATTTCTTTCTGGTGATTTCCAGGCTTGGCTTAGAAAGCGTGGGATAGGCCACAGGAAAACACCCCCACAGCCCCAAGGAAAACGGGGTGGCAGGGCGTAAGAATAGATCTCTGCAGGAGATGATGGATGCAATGCTTGCAGATTCAGGCTCGTCCAGGAGTTTTTGGGGTGAGGCTATTTTGTGTGCCAACTACGTGCAAAATAGGTTGTTCCATGCCACTGTTTGGCAAGAAGCCAAAAGTAGACCATATGCGAACGTTTGGATGAGCCCAGCTCTTTTTTGTATATGGGGGGATGGGGGGGTGTTGGGTTGAAAATCACGACAGACGAGTGGCAGGTGTCATATGAGAGGCGTCTGCCGGGGCGAGCCCCGGGAACTCTCTTTTATTGAATATTACAAACATTGCCACAGGTGTGCTTGTGGCTGATTGGTTGATACAAACACAAAGCATCTTGTTGCTGATTGGTTAACATAGGTACAAGGCGGGAATTACATATGAGCATTTATCACTGATAGATCAAAGGCTGAGAAACGGAGCTGGAACTAGACAGGCATGAAACCTCCTAATTAAATTATAACTAAAGATTAATATTGAGAGAACATAACATGAAAGAATACAACAATCACGTTCCGTAGATGTGGTCAGCAATGCATTAAGAACAGGTCAGGGTACACTGTTTCATGAACTCAATGGGAACTGTTCAGAACATTCTCAGACTCATGTGCAGAGGCAAAAACTTCCCAGCAGGGGTGGGATGGATGTTTGGTTGGGTTGGGAATTTGATTTTGATGGATTTGTAATTTTTAGTTTTTTATTTGTATTGTTTTATTGTATTGTTTTCTGGGGGGGGGGGTGTTTTGTTTTTTGTTTTAAGGTCTTATTTTGTTCTTAAGGGGAGGGGTCAGGGCTGCCGGGGAGTGGGTCCCAGCCAACAAAATGGCTGGGGCATGTTCCACAAAGGGGGATGCGCTGGGACAACCGATCTCAGTGATCACGGGTAGGAGGAGGAGTTACGCTAAGACCAGACCATGTCATTACAGAGGAGGCAGGTTTAGTCATTGTCTGAGGACTATCCCTGCCTCCGGGTTTGGTCCTGACCGGACGGATACTAGAATCAGCAAGGGATACCCACATGACCTGAAGGTGCTGCTGTGCAATGCCAGGTCAATGATGAATAAAACCACTGCCATCCATGACTTGATCATGGATGGAGGACTTGAACTGGCATGTGTAACAGAGACTTGGTTGGATGAAACAGATGGGCCTGTCCTTGCCGCTGCTTGCCCACCAGGTTTCTCTTACGCACAGCAACCCAGGCCTTGTGGGTGGGGAGGGGGGTTACAGTGATTTTTAGGAAGTCATTAGTTTGCACCAGGCATCCTATTGGGAAGACCCAGTTCTCTGAGTGCATGTTCTGGAAGTTGGGCAATAGGGGCAGTACAGGATTCCTTTTGGTGTACCGACCTCCCCACTGCACCAAGGATTCCCTGCCCGAGCTGCTTCAGGTCGTGGCGGATGTTCTCCTGGAGACACCTAGCTTGGTTGTCCTAGGAGATTTTAATATCCATGCTGACACGACCTTACAAGGGGCCGCTCGGGACTTTGTGGAAAGCATGGCCTCCATTGGGCTGTCCCTGAATAAGTCTGGCCCAACCCATAGCCGCGGACATGCCTTGGACCTGGTGTTTACCTCTATGGATGTTGGTGATCTGACACTAAGTAAAAGCAAAACGAAAGAAGTGCCATGGTCAGATCACTTCCTGGTGCAACTTGACTTCTCCGCGACCCTTCCCCTCTGCAGGGAGGTGGGACCGATTCGGATGGTCCGCCCCCGCCACTTAATGGATCCAAATGGTTTCCAGAGAGTGGTAGGGGATGCTTTATCCCATGTTGATGGCCTTTCAGCTGATTCCCTGGTGGCCCGCTGGAATGTGGAGTTAACCAGAGCTATTGACTGTTTGGCTTCGAAGCGCCCTCTCCGATTGCATTGAGCCCGGACAGCCCCGTGGTTTTCCACGGATATGAGGGCAATGAAACAATCGTTGAGATGGCTAGAGTGCCGGTGGCGGATGACCCATTCTGAAGCTGACCGGACACGGGTTAGAGCTCGATGTCGAGCCTACCAAGTGGCGGTAGCGACGGCGAAGAAGAATTTCTTCACCGCCTCTATTACATCTGCAGAAAACAGCAGCAGGAGACTTTTTCAGGTGGTTCGCAATTTAGCGGAACCACCTGCTACATCGGGGCCCAGTATGTGTATAAGGTAATTTGTGAACCCCAAAGCTACCAAGAAATGATATAGTTGTCACGAGAAGCAGCTTTGCTCTGGGAAGGGGCAATGAAAGAAGAGATGCAAACTCTTCGGGAGCACAAGGTGTTCACATCCACTTCACTGCCCAAAGGTGAGAAGGCAGTGGGGTGTAGATGGGTATTCAGGTTAAAGCCTCTTGCTTCAGGCGGAGTTAAAACACAAGGCACACCTGGTAGCAAAGGGTTTTCCCCAGAGGCCAGGTCTTGATTTTGACGAGGTATTTGCGCCTACTGCATGGAGTGACAGCATGCACTTGCTCCTCACCATTGCAGCGAAACACACGTACAAAGTCAATCATTTTGATATCCAAACTGCATATTTGAACGCAGATCTGAAGGAAGAGTTGTATATGTCGGAAGCACCAGGTTTTGAGACAGGCTCAGACAAAGTGTATTGGCTACACAAAGCTCTGTATGGCCTATGCTAATCTGCCTGCAATTGGAACAAATGTCTGGACGAAACTCTGTTATCTTTAGGGTTTAAACGCAGCATAGCTGACAACTGCATGTATGTGCGTGGGGCAGGAGACAAGCAGGAATTCTGTTTAGCTTTTGTTGATGATCTTTTACACATGGCCAAAGGGGACAATCAAATCAAAAGTTTTTCCACACAACTGGGCCAGAGGTTCAAGGTTCGAGATTTGGGTTGTGTACAAACCTATTTGGGCGTGGATGTGCGCAGGGCCAACGATGGCAGTTTTCTGCTGAGCCAGAAAACTAAGATTGTGCAGCTGCTGGCAGGGTATGGCATGCAAAGGCGCAAGAACGCTGATGGAAGTTGGTTTTGTCAAGGGGCTAGAAACAGAAGAAAGCCCAGTATTTGAGCACCCAGATCTGTACCAGTCAGCCATTGGCAGTTTGATATACATATCTCAATGGAGCAGACTGGACATCTGCTACACAGTTGGAATTTTGAGTAGGCTAGTGGCCAAACCCACTGTTTTGGCTTGGAAGGCCGTTAAAAGAGTTCTGAGATATCTAAAACAAACAGCTGATTTTTCCTTAAAATTGTCCTCAGCAGGCCAAGAAGTGCTGACATGTTACTTGGACAGCGATTGGGCTAATTTATCTGATAAATAAATCAATAACCGGTTTGGTAATTATGTTTGGAGGATCCCTAGTGGGCTGGAAGTCCAGGAAGCAGGGCATTGTGAGTGTTTTTTCCACAGAAGCAGAATACGCTGCTCTAAGTGAACTTTGCAGAGAACTGGTTTTCTATAGTTATTGATTGATTTGGGCATAAAATGTGAACTTCCCATTCAGGTGTTTATGGATAACACTGGGCAACAATTTTTTACTTTTTGAATGTTGTCTAGATTTCTACAACTGATTTAGGGTATTTTTGCACTGCTGAATCAGGAAATGGCATCCGTTTCTCTCCATCAGGTCAGGTTTACTGTAAACTGAATGGTGGGCATTGATAAAGGTAAGTACACGTAAATTGCATTTTGCTTCACCATTTTTCAAACTTCAGGGCTTGAACTTCCATTTCTTGGAACTCCTGGAACGCTCAGCGGCATGGAGGTGTCTCTTCAGAGTCCAACAGTAGTCAGCCATCATGACTGCGTCCCAGCGACCCTTATACCTGGTCTCCATCTCTTTCATGTCCTGATGGAATCTCTCCCCCCTGCTCGTCACTCATTGAACCCAGGTTTTCAGGAAACCGGTCCATATGTGAAAATAGGTAGTGCATCTTGACGCTCATGTTGCAGCCCAGGTTTCTGAAAGCAGTCAGCATGTGGTTGACAAGTTCTGCGTAGTTTCTGGCCTTATTGTTGCCAAGAAAGTTCTTCACTACCAGAACAAATGCCTTCCACGCTTCCAGTTCCACTTCGTTCATTGAGTTTCCGAACTCTGGATCTCTGATGAGCTGACGGATCTGAGGACCGTCAAAGATGCCAGCTTTCAACTTCTCCATGGTCAATCCTGGAAAAGCCTGGCACAAGTAAGTGAAGCAATCACCATCCTTGTCCAGAGCCTTGGTGAACTGCTTGATTAAACCGAGCTTGATGTGCAGCGGTGGGAAGAGTATTCTGTCTCTGTCCACCAGAGGGTCGTTGATGACGTTCCTTTCTTTGCAAGGCACCAATTCCTCCCGCACAGGCCAGTCCTTCTTCGTGTAATGCTGAGCACGGTCCCTACTATCCCACATGCACAGAAAACATGGGTACTTGGTGAAGCCAGACTGTTGTCCCAACAAAAGTTCACCATCTTCAGGTCAACACAAATAAACCACTTATGCTGATCATAACCAATTTTCTCCAGCACATACTTCACCGCTTCATAGTTCTCCTTCAGTGTAGTCGAGTGAGCCAGGGGTATAGAGGCAAACTGGTTGCCGTTGTGTAGCAGAACACATTTCAGTGATTGCTTACTGCTGTCAATGAACAGTCTTTGGGTTCGTACTGTGGCACTCCAAGCTTGAGCAGAAGCTGCGCAATATCTGCACAGTACACCAAGTCCTTCTCTTCCGAGAAAAAACGGAGGTTTTATGACTTCAAACTGATCCCTTTTCGACATAATCACCCAGAACTATCGGACCTGAATACTTCTTGTCATTAAAATAATCATTTCCAATCAAAACAATTATTCGACATGGCATTTTACCCCACCAACTTCTTCTAAAATGCTCCACACAAGCGTACATGTGAACAAAAACGTAAAACACCGACCTGTGGCCATAGCTCAAAAACTTGACCTGATTGAGCAAAACCAATGTGATTTTTGGATTCAGCGCATCAGATTCGTCCTAAATCAGCTGAAAAAACGCAGACAACAAATTTGTTGTTGACCAGTGTAATCAAGCATGTATTACGTTGAGCAAAACTGACCAATTTAGGGGGAGGACGAAACACGTTGCGATCAAATATCAAAATGTAAAATGCAATGTCCAAAGGAATGTAATAATGTGTATATATTGTGAAAGTGCCCAGAACATAGCTGATGCTATGACCAAGCTTCTAACTTTTTGAGGTGTAAAATGTTAGCTGAAAGCATGGGTTTAGACAACGAAGTCTAATAACACACTCTGTATATGCTCAGGGACTAGCAGCTGTTCTGAGCAGGCTGTGAGGGGGTGTGAGATATACTTGGCAGTCTGCCCAGAGACAGTAGTCTGCCTAGAGACAGCCTGATTGGATGGTCAACAGTAGGTGTAAGTTAAGGATTGGTTTAGATCAGCCAATCAGTGTCATGCTGTAACAGAGCAGCTATATATAGATATGCCTGCATTCTGTGATAGTGATGCTGTGGCTGCGGTGGTGGTTTGATGGTGGTGTGACGGTGTGTAATTATGTGTTTATTACTGCTTATAACAATAAACACAAGTTCAAGCATTCATGCCATTTCCCTTCATTGTCCGGAAGACAACGTCCAGACTTCAATCGGCTTCCAACGACATTGTGTACTCTGCAGAGCTCACCACAGAAGAAGCATGTGGGCGCGAGATTTATTAGCACACTTCATTTGCAATAAATCTCTCACAGTATATTGCCTGCCTTTCACCAGAAGGTCCGGCAATGCAAAAGACATTAAAAACAGTTTATAACAAATTAATTCACAACTAGAGTGAGTCCTTACACACACACACACACACACACACACACACACACACTGTGTGTGTGTGTGTGTGTGTGTGTGTGCGCGCGCGTGCGCGCATATGTAGTATGCAAGGAAAAATAGATATAAAAGGAAATATTTTTGGATGCCAAGATCCAAGTTTTAGGCAAGTACTCTTTGGTGAGAGAACCCCAGCAGAGATTTGAAATAATAAAACATGCAGCAAAGTAAAGTGTGGAAATACAAGCTGTTAGACCTTTAAAAATATGCCCTTGTGAATTCCTTCCAAAGTTTCCCTCTTCTGCGAGCACAGAAAAAGATGTTTGGTAAGTTAAAAATGGTTTACTTAATGGTTTACTTAAACTCTCCAAAGGTCAGATTAATATGCTTTTCCATACAACATTCAGAAAATGTTGCACAGGCAGTAAAACGTGGCTTAGTCAGAGGTCAGAGTTGTAGCTAAGCCACACTGAGAGCCAGTGTGGTGTAGTGGTTAAGAGCGGTAGTCACGTAATCTGGGGAACCGGGTTCACGTCTCCGCTCCTCCACCTGCAGCTGCTGGGTGACCTTGGGCTAGTCACACTTCTTTGAAGTCTCTCAGCCCCACTCACCTCACAGAGTGTTTGTTGTGGGGGAGGAAGGGAAAGGAGAATGTTAGCCGCTTTGAGACTCCTTAAAGGGAGTGAAAGGCGGGATATCAAATCCAAACTCTTCTTCTTCTTCTTCTAGCTACATGGGGGGGGGGGGCTAGCCAGTTTTTTTTGCCCTGGGTGAAGCCTCCAGAGGGGTGCCTTTGATGCTCCCAGCCTCTCTCTGTGTGTATGCAAATGTGCGGGGAGTGTGTGTGTGCCAAACTGTGTTTTTGACCCAGGTGAAATAAAGTCTAGTTTTGCTTGTGGCTTGTAACACTGTTGAGCATCTCTGAAAGATGGAAGAAGGAACAAAGACTTCCCTCTGTAAGAACAAAGACTTCCGATCTGTGAGCATTTAGAAAAGGGTGCTGTGATTACTAAGAACCAGCATGGGTTTCTGAAAAACAAGTCATGCCAGACCAATCTCATTTCTTTTTTTGATGGAATTACAAACTTGGTGGATGAGGGGAGTGCTGTGGACACAGTGTATGAACCCCTTCCTCTTGGTTCATGTGGGAACCAATGACACTGCAAGCAATAGCCTCCAGAAGATCAAAAGAGACTACGAGGCTCTGGGCAGGAAATTGAAGCAATTAAATGCACAAATTGTCATCTCATCTGTCCTCCCAGTTGAACGACGTGGCCCAGGGAGAGAGGGAAAAATAGTGGAAGTGAACAGCTGGCTTCGCAAATGGTGTAAACAGGAACGGTTTGGATTCTTAGATCACGGACTGCAGTTTCTTGAAGATGGACTTCTGGCAAGCGATGGGCTGCACCTCACAACGGTTGGGAGGAATGTTTTTGCCAAAAATCTCAGAAACCTCATCAGGAGGGCTTTAAACTGACTAATGTGGGGGAGGGAGACAGTGCTCCTGAAGGTAGGAGTCTATCAATTGATGAAGATGATCATCCAAATGTCATAGACCAAATGGAGCAAACAGCACGCAGACCTAGTGGTGGGAGGAAAAAATCCTTAAATAAGAGACACGGGGGAATGATTAATGGACTTCAATGTCTGTACACTAATGCGCAAAGCATGGGAAATAAACAAGATGAGCTTGAGCTCTTGGTACAGCAAACTAAATATGACATAATAGGCATCACTGAAACCTGGTGGGATAAGTCCCACGATTGGAATGTAATAATGGAGGGATACAATCTATTTCAGAGAAACAGACCAGACAAGAAAGGAGGAGGAGTGGCGTTATATGTCAGGGATGTGTATACCTGTGAAGATATCCAAGATTTAGAACCTCAAAGCCAAAGTGAGAGCATTTGGGTCAAAATTAAGGGAGAGAAGAATAACAGTGACCTCATTGTGGGAGTTTACTATATATCCCCAAGCCAAACGGAGGACATAGATGATGCCTTCCTGGAACAGATGGCCAAGCATGCAAAAGGAAGGGAGATAGTAGTAATGGGGGACTTCAATTACCCGGATATTTGTTGGATGTCAAACTCAGCCAAGAGCATAAGGTCAAACAGATTCCTCACTGGCCTTGCAGACAACTTGCAGAAAGTGGGAGAAGCAACAAGAGAAACAGCCATTTTAGATCTGGTCCTAACCAATGTTGATGACCTGGTTAGTGGGGTAGAAGTGGAAGGATCATTAGGTGCGAGTGATCATGCTCTTCTGAAGTTTACTATACAGCGGAAAGGAGCAGCCAAGCATACTAGGACTCAATTTCTTGACTTTAAGAAAGCCGACTTCATAAAACTTAGGGAAGTGCTGGGTGAGATCCCATGGACAGTAATACTAAAAGGAAAGGGAGTTCATGATGGCTGGGAGTTTGTTAAGAGGGAGATAGTAAAAGCACAACTTCAGGCAATACCAATGAGACGGAAACATGGAAGGTGCCTAAAGAAGCCAGGGTGGCTATCTAAAGAACTTTTAACTGAGTTAAGATTAAAAAGGATGTGTACAAAAAATGGAAAAGGGGAAACCACCAAAGAGGAATTCAAACAAATAGCCAGCACGTGTAGACACAAAGTCAGAAAAGCTAAAGCACAGAATGAACTCAGGCTTGCTAGAGAGGTTAAAAGCAACAAAAAGGCTTTTATGGGTATGTTCAGTAGCAAAAGGAAGAACAAAGAAACAGTGGGGTCACTCAGAGGAGAAGATGGTGAAATGCAAACAGGGGACACAGAAAGGGCTGAACTCCTCAATGCCTTCTTTGCCTCAGTCTTCTCCGATAAAGAAAACAATGCCCGACCTGAAGAATTTGGAGCAAATGATTCAGCAGAGGAAACACAGCCCAGAATAACTAAGGAGATAGTACAAGAATACTTGGCTAGTTTAGATGTATTCAAGTCTCCAGGGCCAGATGAACTGCATCCAAGAGTATTAAAAGAACTGGCAGATGTGATCTCAGAACCACTGGCAGTCATCTTTGAGAATTCCTGGAGAACAGGCGAAGTCCCGGCAGACTGGAGGAGGGCAAATGTTGTCCCTATTTTCAAAAAGGGGAAAAGAGAGGACCCAAATAATTACCGCCCAGTCAGTCTGACATCAATACCAGGGAAGATTCTGGAGCAGATCATTAAGCAAACAGTCTGTGAGCACCTAGAAAGGAATGCATGGATAGTCAGCATGGATTTCTGAAAAATAAGTCATGTCAGACTAACCTGATCTCGTTTTTTGACAGAATTACAAGCCTGGTAGATGAAGGGAACGCAGTGGATGTAGCCTACCTTGATTTCAGCAAGGCATTTGACAAGGTGCCCCATGATATTCTTGTAAAGAAGCTGGTAAAATGCGGTCTTGACTATGCTACCACTCAGTGGATTTGTAACTGGCTGACTGACCGAACCCAAAGGGTGCTCATCAATGGTTCCTCTTCATCCTGGAGAAGAGTGACTAGTGGGGTGCCACAGGGTTCTGTCTTGGGCCCGGTCTTATTCAACATCTTTATCAACGACTTGGATGATGGACTCAAGGGTATCCTGATCAAATTTGCAGATGACACCAAACTGGGAGGGGTGGCTAACACCCCAGAGGACAGGATCACACTTCAAAACGACCTTGACAGATTAGAGAACTGGGCCAAAACAAACAAGATGAATTTTAACAGGGAGAAATGTAAAGTATTGCACTTGGGCAAAAAAAATTAGAGGCACAAATACAAGATGGGTGACACCTGGCTTGAGAGCAGTACATGTGAAAAGGATCTAGGAGTCTTGACTTGAGCCAACTTGACATGAGCCAACAGTGTGACGCGGCAGCTAAAAAAGCTAATGCAATTCTGGGCTGCATCAATAGGAGTATAGCGTCTAGATCAAGGGAAGTAATAGTGCCACTGTATTCTGCTCTGGTCAGACATCACCTGGAGTACTGTGTCCAGTTCTGGGCACCACAGTTCAAGAAGGACACTGACAAACTGGAACGTGTCCAGAGGAGGGCAACCAAAATGGTCAAAGGCCTGGAAACGATGCCTTATGAGGAACGGCTAAGGGAGCTGGGCATGTTTAGCCTGGAGAAGAGGAGGTTAAGGGGTGATATGATAGCCATGTTCAAATATATAAAAGGATGTCACATAGAGGAGGGAGAAAGGTTGTTTTCTGCTGCTCCAGAGAAGCGGACACGGAGCAATGGATCCAAACTACAAGAAAGAAGATTCCACCTAAACATTAGGAAGAACTTCCTGACAGTAAGAGCTGTTTGACAGTGGAATTTGCTGCCAAGGAGTGTGGTGGAGTCTCCTTCTTTGGAGGTCTTTAAGCAGAGGCTTGACAACCATATGTCAGGAGTGCTCTGATGGTGTTTCCTGCTTGGCAGGGGGTTGGACTCGATGGCCCTTGTGGTCTCTTCCAACTCTATGATTCTATGATTCTAGTGTATCTTGACTTGAGTAAGGCTTTTGGCAAAGTCCCCCATGATACTGTCATACCTTGGAAGTTGAACGGAATCCGCTCCCGTAGTCCATTCGACTTCCAAAATGTTCAAAAACCAAAGGTCCTGCAGCCAATCGGAAGCCATGGAAGCCCTGTCAGACATTCGGTTTCCAACGGGAACACTCACTTCCAGGTTTGCGGCATTTGGGAGCCGAAATGTCTGAGTACCAAGACGTTTGGGATCCAAGGTACGACTGTATTCTTGGCCAGGAAGCTGGTAAAAGGTGGGCTGAATGAGGTAACTGTTCGGTGAATTTCTAGCTGGTTGACTGACCGAACCCAAAGAGTGCTCATTAATGGTTCCTCATTGTCCTGGGGAAGAGTGACAAGTGGGGTGCCTCAGGGTTCTGTCCTAGGCCCATTGTTGCTCAACATCTTTATAAACAACTTGGATGAAGGAATTGAGAGGATGCTCATCAAATTTGCAGATGACACCAAACTGGGAAAGGTAGCTTAATGCCACAGAGGGCAGATTCAGAATTCAAAATGACCTTAACAGGTTGGAGAACTGGGCGCAAGAAAACAAAATGAATTTCAATAGGGACAAATGTAAGGTTCTGCACATAGGCAGGAAGAACCAGATGCACAAACATAGGATGGAAGACACCTGGCTTACTAGCAGTACATGCGAAAAGGATCTAGGGGTCTTGGTGGACCACAAGCTTAACGTGAGTCAACAGTGTGATGCAGCAGCAAAAAATATAATGCTCTTCTAGGCTGCCTCAACAGAAGTCAGAACGTGTGCAGAGGAGGGCAACTAAGATGATCAAGGGTCTAGAAGCCAAGCCTTATGAGGAATGGTTGTAGGAGCCGGGTATGTTTAGCCTGGAAAAGAGGAGAAAGAGGAGCTATGATAGCCATCTTCAAATATCTCAAGGGCTGTCATAAGGAAAATGAAGCAAGCTTGTTTTCTCCTGCTCTGGAGGATAGGACTCAAACCACAATGGCTTCAAATTAGAAGAAAGGAGATTCTGACTAAACCTCAGGAAAAACATTCTGACAGTCAGAGCTGTTCGACAGTGGAATAGTCTCCCCTAGGGAGGTTGTGAACTCTCGTCCTTGGAGGTTTTTAAGCAGAAGTTGGATGGCCATCTGTCATGGATGCTTCAGCTGAGATTCCGGCATTGCAGGGGGTTGGACTAGATGATCCTTGGAGTCCCTTCCAACTCTACAATTCTATGATTCTATGACTTGATTGTCTAGTTCCTCCCAATGTCAGCTAAGCTTGGCCGGACAGCTTACTGTATGGCCTTAACCCCTCCATGCATTAATTAGACTTAAGCACATTGGTTATATGAAACTGGTTATCCCACAAGTTGTAGCCCAGCAAAATCTGGAGGGCCAAAGGTTCCTCACACCTGAACTAGTAGTCAGTCTAAACAATCCCATGAAATCCTTTATTGGACCAACAGTAAGAACAGAGTTTCCCCCTAAAAATGCCCTAGTAATTTTTGGTTAAAGCCAATGGGAAAGACAGGTCCTGTCCTTAATTAACTTCCAGCATATACAGAAGTATTTTACTTGAAGCTTGATTTCAGAGTTTTAACTCAGTTTTATTTTTTCTACTGTAACTTTGCAAACCACTTAAGACTATTGTAGTTAAGTAGCATATAGTTTAAATAATAAATTATGTGGTAGAAAATGTAAAAACTGAATCATTTTGTGGAAGACATTTACTGGGCATCTAAATATGAATATTTCAAGGTCACGCTCCCACATTAGGTGAGTGGTGTTCAGGTATTTTACTAGCATAGTAAACAACCTTGTTTAAGGAAATAAGTCAACATTTTCTCTTCATTCTTCCTGTCTTTTATACAACAATAATGTTCGAAATAATCATTTTGATATTGTATTTCAAGTTATTGAGGCTATCTTACACTGTATTCGAATTTTGTGGTAATTCACAAATATTTTTCAGTCTTCAAAAAACCCTTTTTTTTTCCAAAATAATTGTAATTCATTAGACAATATATGAAGTTACTAGTAAGGAAGTGAACCCAAACATCAGACATTTGCTACACTTTAAACCTTTGTAATGCCACTCCCGACATCCGGAGGGGGGGGTTGCGGGCTCACGCCCCATTAACACCCTCACAGGGCTGGCTGCAGTCCCGCGGGACCTAGGGAATCCCGGGATCATTAGTATTCATCATTCACCGCGCCAGCCAATCGGCTGGCGGCGGGGGCGGGACTTGTAAGGGGCATTTAAGGTCGGGGCATCCCATGCTTGCCCCTTTCTTTTCTTTCAGCAGCTGTGGTTTTGGTCTCCGTTTTACGAGCTGGTTATTTTATATTTTGCGGCTGCGTGTTCTTTTCTTCGGCTTTAGGATTCTTTCCTTCGCAGCGTTCCAAAACCATTTGATCTTCGCGCTCCCCTCGGCGCGCCTGCCGTTCCAGCTGCGGGATCCTTTGTGTGCTGCCTCCTTCTCAGCTAGTTTTTTCTTTGCGTCTCTTTTATTCCAGACGGGCGAAGGTATCAGGGACCTACTACGGCTACAGCACTGCCATCCCTGAGGAGCCGCAGCGGACCTTCGGCTTCAGAGCGGACACTACGTTTCTTCGCCTCTTTGCCTCGGCCCCGCTTGGGATCCGGAGACCACGGTCGTGAGCTGCGGCAGCGCTCACGGGAGGTTTGCCGCATCGGTGGGGTGGTGTGCTCACCCAGAGCTAAATTGTGGGGGGTTCGCAGGCGCAGGGGACCGGGGGTTTGTGCTTAAGTTGACGCCGGCGCGCGTCTGGGAGCGGGCGGCAGAACGTTCTTATTGTGTCCAGGATTAAAGAAGGATAATTGCGGGGACCGCGGGCGCTGGAAAACGGGTTTTTTTGGTGGGGGTTAATACGACGCTGGCGTGCTTTGAGCTGGTGGCGGAGCGCGGCTTTTCGCAGATACAGCGCAGCAGTTTCCCGCTTTAAGAGAAGTGCCAAGGAACCATCGCAATTTGCTAAGAGTCAGGTCTCTGGCTGGGCTCCCGTTTCCCTAACTTTTACAGCTAAATTCGGCACAATCTCAGTCGGCAGGTAATTTAATTGAGGCGTGCGCGGTTGCCCAGGTAACAGGAAGAGGCGGGCGCCATTTTGTGTGGACCACGTGGTCCCGGGAGTAGCCATTTTGGGTGAGGCATCCCCTTGTCTGCAAGCTACCGGCAGCTGCCTGGCAGCTATAAAGGAGCTACTGTATCATTGCGGGCAAGGGCTCTCTTTTTCTCTTGAAAAGGTTACTTTTCGGAACAGTTGCTTGCAGTTTCCAGCATTTCTGATCTGTTTAGGTGGATTCTTTCAAGTGAGGCCGGCATCTCTGACCGTATCATTTATCTTTAATTCGCTGTGCTGCCGTGATTCATTTAATCCTTTTCTTTGCACTGCCTTATACATTAATATTTCATTGCTCTGCCTGCTTTAATAATTCATTCAAGATTGCCGCAGGAAGGGCTGTCTTTGCGTTTTAAATAACTCATTGGTTTTGCTTAAAAGTCTTTGAATAATTCATTGGTAGTTCTTAGTCGAATTTATTTAGTGAAAGACACTGCTTGGTTTTAAGTGGCTTGCTTTGCAACTGCATTACTTTACCCTAAGCCGCTGGTTATTTTCATTCCAGTCTACTTTAGAGGAGACTGCTTTGCAGATAAATATTTGATTCATTTACTTTAGTTCGCTGCTGGATATAAATAATTAAATCTGATTATCGTGTGGAGGCTGCCTTGGTGGTCAAACAATTCATTTTCTGGCCAAGCAACTGAGACATTTACTTGGTAACTCTTGGCACAATTTAAACGGAAAATTTTATTACCAGGTTGGTGAGGCCTTGCACTTCAGCTGCAGTGCTATTCTTTGAGTCCTTTTGATTGGGATACATATCAACCTTAACAACTGCTTAATAATCGCAGCAGTAGCTTTAAGTGAATTTAAAATAAATATTTAAGTAAATATAGATATATAAATAAATAGTAAATAAATAAAATAATATTTTTTTTTAATAATTAGAATAATAAAAAGAAATATAGATATAAGTAAATAAATAAATAAATAAAAATATAAATAATAATAACTAAATAGGCAGTTATACATACATACATAAGTGAGTGGCTGTTCAAAAAGTGCCGACTCCATGGCAAACAGGGGCAATCCCCAGTCATCCCAGACGGGTGGTGCACTAGTACCCGTCGCGCTCTGTAACCCTCAAGCCTTAGCTCAATTCTTTTCGGCGATTCAAACATTTTACGCGCAATGCAGGCCTCCTGTGGCCCCTGCTTCCGCCATAGTGGAGGTTTCACAAGATTGCATCCCCGACACCCCCCTCAGCCAACAGGGCCAGGCTGGCCCCTCTTCAGCCGTGGCTAGCACGTCACATCAAGGCATGGGGCTTCCCAGTCGCCCCCAAACACGTTTACAAACCGCACGGGCACAGAAGGCCAAGTCTAGTGCGCAGAAGGCCAAGGCCAGTGCACAGAAATCCAAGGCTGGCTCACGGAAGTCTAAACAACCTAGTGCCGCCCCATCTAATACAACCCGGGAGGTAATTGGCGTCCCTAGTGTTTTCCAGGATCCTCCAGCTCACCACAGTCCGTCGGAGGGGTCATCTTCAGATGAGGAGTTACCCCCGCAGCAGGCAGTGTCAACTCCCAATGACCCAGCCCCGCAAGACAGCAGCACCTGCGGAGGGAAGCGGAAAGCCAAGAAGAAGCACATGTCTAAGAAGAGCAGGAGGGACAACTCTGATTCCGAGGATGAGACAGGTACCTCTTCTTCTGAGGATGATAGTGATGCTCCCATGGAAATGTACTGGGGGGAGGGCGAAGAGACTGGTGTTCCCTTGTGGATTCATGAGAGGAGGGCCAATTCTCACCGGAAAACCTTTAACGGTACTCTTGAATGGAAAGATGGGGCATTAGTGGAAGATGTTAAAGTTTCAACGCACTTGTCTACTGATTTTATCTTGGGTAATCACCTTTCTAAGAGAAAAAGGGATAAGATATTGAATGGGGATTTCATAGATATGTTCATGTTGCTACCACCGGCACAAATAAAAGGAAAAGGGGAGAAAAAGCGGCATTATGGTAAGAAAAGATATAGATCCCCTCGGGCGGAGCGTACATTCAAGAACTGGCTCAACGGCTACCAGGTATTCATGGGGATAGTGTTAGGATGTTATCCAAAACGTGGGTTGCACCTTGCATCTTATCTGGCGCACGTGAGAAGGGCTCAGGAATTAGCGGGAGATGAGGCTGCCATCTCGTACAACGAGGATTTTCGTAGGAATGCCTTGCTGTTGTCCTCCACGTGCTGGGATCAGAGGGACAATAACTACTGGATGGAGCACGTGGGGCCTTACATCGAAAAGAAAACACACGACCAAGCAAAATCTGGTAAGGTGGACACAAAACGGCGTAAGCACTGCTAGGATTTCAATAAAGGGGCCTGCCAGTGCACCTCTTGTAAGTACTTGCACAAATGTGATAAGTGTTTAGGTAGCCACCCGGCTATTAACTGCTACAAGAGCAAGCAGCAGCCCTTTTGGGGGGGCAGGGGTCACCTCCACCAGGGAAACCAGGGTGCCCCCTCAGGTGTGTCAGGACCCGTCCACGGGGCAGCAGGAAATCGCTACTAATTTGTCTCTCGACCTAGCTCACTCCCCGATTAAGCTCCAACCCCTAAGAACGCTGTTAAATCTATATCCTAATAGGCAAGCCGCCCTTCTCCTATGGGATGGGTTTTCCCAAGGGTTCAGAATTCCAGTTGCTTTCACCCCCAATTCCAGTTGCCCCCCCAATCAGAAGTCAGTTTTGGAGAGACCAGACATAGCGATGAAAAAGATTCAGAAGAAAATTTTGGCCGGTAGGGTGGATGGTCCATTTGCAGAACCTCCCATTGATCAGCTGCATATTTCACCGCTTGGCATTGTCCCCAAAAAGGCCCCTGGGGAATTCAGGATGATACATAACCTTTCTTACCCAAAGGGGGCTTCAGTTAACGATGCTATTCCCCAGGAGCTGTGCATGGTGAAATATGCATCCTTTGATCAAGCTGTAAAACTGGTTTGGGGTTTCGGCAGGGGTGCTTTTCTGGCCAAATGCGACATCGAATCCGCATTTCGCCTCCTCCCAGTCCACCCTGAAGACTATCATTGGTTAGGCTTTAAATTCCAGGGAGCTTATTTCATCGATAAAGCAATGCCAATGGGGTGTTCAATTGCCTGCGCTGCTTTCGAGACTTTCAGCACCTTCCTGGAATGGGCACTGAAATTTAAATCTGGTTCTGAAGGGGTGGGGCATTACTTGGATGATTTTATTTTGGTAGCAAGTAAAGCTAATGACTGTACGGCCTTGCTGCAGGCCTTCATGTCCATGGCGGAAGAGCTGGGGGTCCCTTTAGCGAATGAAAAGACTGAGGGACCAGTCACTACGATGACTTACCTGGACATTGAGCTCGACACTATTGCCCAAACATCTCGCCTTCCTGCCGAGAAATTGGTGGCCCTTAAGGAGCTCATTTCACAGCTATTGCCCTTAAAAAAGGTTACCCTCAAGCAAATTCAATCACTCTTGGGCCACCTTAACTTCGTGTGCCGAGTGGTTTCACCCGGTCGCCCCTTTTGTGGACGGCTGGCAAAGTTGTCAGCAGGTTTACGGTCGCCACATCATAGGGTGCGCCTCTCGAAGGCAGTAAAGTCGGATCTCCAGGTCTGGCTGCAATTCTTAGATGGCTATAACGGAATTTCACTTTGGCAAGATAGCATGGCCCTTCAATCCGACTTCCAGGTCCATTCAGACGCAGCAGGTTCTCTGGGGTTTGGTGTCTACTTCAGAGGTCAGTGGTGTGCACAGCGATGGCCCTTGTCATGGCAGGGCAAACCCATACTACGCGACTTAACATTCTTAGAATTCTTCCCTATCGTAGTCGCAATTCATCTATGGGCCGAGCAATTTAAAGACCGCAGGGTCTGCTTTTGGACAGACAACCAGGCAGTGGTGTCTGTCTTAAATAAGCAATCTTCCCGTTCGCCTAGAGTAGCGTCGCTTTTACGGTATTTTGTCCTATCCTGCCTTCGGCTAAACTTATATGCCTCTGCCAAATTCGTACCAGGTATTGATAACAACATTGCGGATGCTCTGTCTCGTTTCCAGATGGATCGCTTTCGCTTATTGGCGCCGGATGCGCAGCAGCTGCTGCAGCCATTTCCAGAGCACCTCTGGAGTATTGGCAACGAGAAGCGATAAAGGGAGTATTGTCATCAGTCGCACCCTCAACACTAAGATCCTATAACAAGGCGTGGTTAGATTTCACATCATTTCGCCAGAAGAAAGGGCTTTTAAAACCAGGCAGACCCCCGACTAAGTTGGAGGTTATAGAATACCTTGTGCGCCTCCGCGACCTAGGGCGGGCCCCCAAAACCCTAAATATTCATTCCGCAGCAATATCGTTCTTCTCCAAAGCTCTGTTCTCAGTCGACCCCTGTGCACACTTCGTGGTGCGGAAGATGCTGGAGGGCTGGCGTAGGTCTCGGCCTCCTAGCTCCGACAGCAGAAGACCCATAACTTATGACATACTCATGCAAATACGTAAGAAGCTCAGGGTCATTTGTTGGTCCAGGTATGAGGCCAGGTTATTTTCCACAGCCTTGTCATTCACATTCTTTGGCGCCTTGCGCATAGGCGAGGTGGTCTGTGAGGACCAACCGGTTAAAAATAACAGGGGGCTCCTCTTGGAGGACGTGACTTTGTCTAGCTCCAAAGTAATCCTAAAAATTCGCAGTTCAAAGACTGATCAGCTTGGTAGAGGGGCCCTAATCCACATACAGGCTACTCAGAAGGCCGGCCCTTGCCCAGTAAAGGACGCAAGAAAGTTCCTGTGTTTAAGACCTAAAGCCTGTGGCCCTTTCTTCATACACGCAGATGGCTCTCGCCTGTCAAAGCATCAGTTTACGAGGGTTATGCGCAAGGCAATCGCTGCCATTGGGCTCCCATCTGAGGAGTACGCCGCACATTCCTTTCGCATCGGGGCCGCGACCACCGCCGTGCACATGGGTTTACCGGCGGAGAGGATAATGGACATGGGGCGGTGGAAGTCGAACGCTTACAGGGGATACATCCGGAAGACATGCTAACATTCCTTCCTCCATTGGCCCCACTGACCTGGTTCTCTTGCTCTCTTTTATTTTCAGGTGTCGGGACGGTGCGTCTGTGGATCATCGGCCACAGCATTGTCCACTGGGCAAGAGTGCGTGCGGTTGCCAGGGGCTGGTGCGAGTTGCAGCTTCCAAACAATGTTGAAGTTTCCTGGATCGCGCATCGTGGAATGCGCTGGGAAGAATTCTTCCCAGCAGTTACAAAAAGAATTGCTGTTGAAGGCCCACCGGAGGCGGTGGTCATCCAACTGGGCGAGAACGACCTAGCTTACAGAAAGGGGGTGGACTTAATGTGACATATTCTTAATGATCTGGGGGAGTTGCGTGCCTCCTATCTGAACCTAACAATTATCTGGTCATCTCTGCTTGAGAGGCGCGTGTGGAGAGATTCCAAAAACCTGGTAGCTGTGAATAGAGCCAGGAGGATCCTGGAGCGCTTGGTGGCACGTAGAGTGGCCGCGATGGGTGGGTGGGTCATTGAGCACCCAGGCATCCATTTTAGCGAGGAGGCCCTCTACCGCGGGGATGGCGTGCACCTTTCCGATGCTGGTAATGATATTTGGCTTGCTGACATTTTCCAGGGGATCAGGGATTGGTTACAGGTTTGAGGGTATTGGCGGCGAGCCTGGCTCGTGTGGTGGTTAGGCATTGGCAGGGGTATTATTATGCAAATGAGATGGGGGGAGGAACGCCATCACCTCCCCCAAATGTTGAAGGGTAGTTCGTTAAAGGACTCCGGGGGCGTCGCCTCGTCCGAAACCTATGGAGACTAGGGCCTAAAGCGCGCTCCCGAGGTGGTAACCCCTCGGGGAGCGCCTAGGGATGTGCATCTCGGGGGCTCCCCCTGTTGGTGCTTAACCCTTCCCGGTTATACCGGTTAGTCTGATAGGGCCAATGCCTAAAGCCAATACCGCTCTTACCTGTAATCAATAAAGTTGTGGCCATTTTTTGCCCATTAACCTAAATTCTGGTCCTGTGTCTTTATTCCATTCTGTGGGAGGGGGCAGGAATAGCCACGCAACACACAATTTTCAAAATGAGTCTTTCAATTTGGTTTACATTTTTTAAAAAAATGTATGAGTACTTAAAAACAGTGGATTTTTTACTTTGAAAGGGATTCACATTTAAAGAGCAAAAATGTCATTTGAAAATTTGATTAACCTATTACAGTTTTAGTAAGTCAAATCTAGTTAGCAACTTACAAAAGCCAACCTTGAATGTAAAATTAGTGCATATAATAGCTAAAGATGTACAATTTAACCAGTAACGACACATTATCAGGCAAATTCTTTAAACTGAAAATGTTTCAGCTTTCACACATCTGGAGTAAACAGTATTTCCAATTTAACACAAAAATAAAATAGTTTCAAAGTTGATTTTGAAAGTAATCACTTCTAAAGATTGCATCAACATCCATTAGTAGAGGAAGACCCAACTTTATTGAAACAGCTTGCATATAAAATATATTGCACTATAAGCAAACAAATGTCAACAGAAAATATAATTTGTTGTAGTGAATATGTACAGATAATAATGCCCAAGAGCAATGACATAACTAGGTCATTCTTCCTTGGTTCATTACAGTATTTTAAACCAAACACCTTATAGATATGTGGAAGGTACCAAATTCAGTTTTCAAATACTATACATTCCCTCAAAAATAAATAACTAGAAATCAATGTTTAATGTTTGGCAATATTTAAGACATTTTTAAAATAGTTGTTAAGTTGTATGCAGGTTGCACCATTTTTAAATACTTGTTTGTATGCAAGGAAAAAAATTTAAAAGCAGAGAAACAAGAATGCACAACACAGAGACAGTAGCAAGGTTTGTACAAATCTGTACATAATCAGCAACACTCCTACTGCAGTAATTTTAATAAAAATAGAATAGCTTAAAATGAAGATCCATTCCCCCCCCCAAAAAAGAAGGTCCTGTTTGTTATACTGCTTTTTTGCAAGTAAACTTCATTTAAGATCAGAAACAGAAAGCATCTCCCAACCCCCTATTATGGGCAACTAAACTTAATGCCAGTTTCAGTCACATGTTTTGAATCTACTTGTATACAAGACCTTGTAAGACTGTTCTGTTTCCAAGGCTGTTAAGCTATGCTATCCCTGAATTTTCCCAAGTTTCACATACAGCAATAAACTTCCTCTATTGTCTGAGATAGATTCCAAATTTCAACTATACCAAAAACTGTAGGGGAACTGAAAAGAAAGCTATTCTTTTAAATGGGTCCTCTGGCCAAACAGCAAACACACACTACTAGATTA